TAGTGTCAGGTGGGGCGGGGTGGGGATGGTTTGGGGATGATTCAAGCGTGTTACATTGATTGTGGACTTTATGTCTATTATTATCACATTGCAATAAATGATGAAATCATTATACAACTCACCATAACGCAGAATCAGTGGGAGCCCTGGGCTTGTTTTCCTGCAACTCTGCAACTAGAGGGTCCTGTCTGGGGGTGACGGGAGACAGGGGCGGATCTGACGGGAGGCGGAGCTCAGGCGGTGACGAGAGTGACAGGGAACTGCTGGGAATGCAGATGAAGCTTCGTGCACTCACCCTCTGCTCACCCCCGGCTGTGCAGCCCGGTTCCCGGCAGGCCACGGACCGGTACCTGTCTGTGGCCCGGGCTGGGATCGCAGGTCTAGAGGGTCAGACTGAGAGAAGAAGAAACTGGAAATGAGAGTGGCGACTGTTCTCAAAAGAGCAGAGGACGCAGCGCTGTGCGTGGAAGCGCTGAGCCGAGGGGTGAAGCACGAGAAGATCTAGCTGGCAGCGCGCTGAGGCGGAAGGCGCAGCACGCACGAAGACCGCGGTGGAGAACCTGGCGCGACGTGCCAGCCAGCGTGGCCAAGCGGAGGGGTACAGGCGAAGAGCTGCAGGCGACAGAGAGGGCTGGGCAAGGGCCAGGTCACGCGGGGTCCTGTGGGCCCTGATGAATGCAGTGGTCCCCCTTCATCCATGGGGGACACGTTCCAAGACACCCCGGTAGATGCCAGAAACCTCAGATATTAGCAAACCCTGTGCATACTCTTTTTCCTATACATACATACCTATGGTAATGTTTAATTTATAAATTAGGCACAGTCACAGATTAACAACAATAACTAATAATATAATAAAAATAAGTATAACAATGCATTGTAGTAAAAGCTATATGAATATGCGCTTGCTCTCTCTCTCTTTCTCAAATATCTCCCTGCAATGTAATATTTTCAGATTGCAGTTGGCCAGGGGTTGTTGAAACCATGGAAAGCGAAACCACAGACAGGGGGGACATTGGAAGTATTTTAGATCTGACGTTAGGTGTCAGGGGATTCCAGGGAGTGTTTTGAGCCAGAGACAGACACAATCGACTGTATGTTTTTGACAGGTGACTCTGGCTGCTGTATGGAGAAGAGACTGGGGAGAGGGGACAGTGGCCGGTGGTGGCAGTGAAGCAGGGACGACCAGCTGCTGTTGTGGAGAAGTACACAGTCACCGTCACTGCCTTCACACCAGCATCTGACGTTGGCTGAGTGCTAACTACGCACCAGGCACCGGTCCTAGCCCTTTACGTGTATTGTTTCGCCCAACCCTCACGGCAACTCTGCAAGATCCCCACATTTGATAAATGAAGCTCTAAGAAGCTAGCTTATCTGTGGCAAATTGCCCGTCAAATGGCAGAGCCAGGATTTGGCCCGGAGCCTGCCCTCATAATCACTGCACGACTGTGTCAGCCGCACACTGGGCGCGTGGGCGCGGCAGCTAACGCGCAGCTCGGAACTCGCGTCCCACAGGTCGGTGGCTGGGAGAACCTTCTGCTCTGGACCTCTCGGTCTGTTTACTGAATTGCTCTCGTCGTGAGCCCCTGCCGTATACAATCAAAAGCAAACACGCGGTCCAGGAGCACCTGGTAGCCGCTGCTGGTGGTGTTGCATGCTCAGAATATGTTTCTGTCCCCTCCCTGCCTGTGGGAAGTCAATTCCACGCAGGCGTCTCAGCTTCGGGGGTGGCGGGGTGGAAGCCTGTCGGGAAGCCCCTTGCCACGAACGGGCTAAAGGTGAGCTGGGCCCCATTCTGGCCACGGAGAGAAGACACAGCGTTGGCTGGGGGCGGGGCGGGTAAAGAGAAGCTCAGCAAGAGATGGTGCCTCTTCCCCCCTCGATACTGTCATTAACTACAAGGGACCCCTAGACCCATGGCCACTAACCTGTGACCCTGAGAACGGCTAAGGTGACCCACAGGGTGGATGGCAGGACAGGGAAAGGGAAAGAACCTAGATCCTCAGTGAGCTGCTGAAATAACCAACTCGGAAGCTGTCCCACCCTGGGACTTACTTTCCCTCTTAGTTAAATCGATGCAGTTAGTTGGGACTTTCCATCACTCAAAGTACAAAATATACCAAATGAGAAAGAAGCCAAAATGCAAATAAAAACCTGATGCATTATTTGACCAGCTTCAGACACGCAGCACGGGAAGTGGACGCCATGAATAGTGACAACATCCCCACTTTGCACCTGCAGGTGAGCTCTACGCTCTGCTTGCCCACAACCCCAAGCTAGTCAAAGGCTGAAGCCTCTTGACTCCAGCCTGGTGATGAGACATATGGTAATGTTCAGCTATGGAGAGCATTTAATTAACCAGGGCCCTCCATTTCTTAATTGCGCTAGATAAAATGCAGCGGGCACGTAACAACTGACAGCAACAGGATGCTTCCGAGCTGACGAATGCATGCACACACATCAGCATTGCCTGGCCATATGTGACTTGCAAACGCCTTTCACTAAACCCCCCTCAAACATTTTAAAAATAGTTTTGCCATTTTGGGGCAGTATGTGACAAAAGAGTGATTTGAAGTTCTAAACAAATTATTTCAGAGAATCATATTAAATATTATCTTCTACAGTTTGCTTTAGTGCAATCATTAATAATGTTCATGATGTACAATCATTACAAATTTCCATTTCATTTCATTTAACAACAAGTACACAATGCTTAATTTTTATTAAATTATATGAAAGAAAGCATGCTTTTCTGACAAGTATCCTAAAAACTGATACATGATATCTAATTTGGGGACTGAATATATACCAAAAAGTATTTTAGGATTTAATTCCTTGACATAGCATCAAGAATAAGCAAAAACTATCTTTCAAGAATTGATGTGTGAAATTCTGGAATTTTATGTGAAAACCACTACTATCTTATTTTTATAATTTCTATGGTTTTTTTTTTTTCCTTTGGTTTATAAATGACAGGAGGGGAAAGATTTCAGGCCACTATTTGCAAGCACTGTGCAAATAACACATTGTGGGTATGGAGAGAGCCTTTATTCTCAACAAAGGAGAAACCAAACTGGATATAATTGTCACTCCATTTTCTCTTTCTAACACTGTTTTTGAAGTACCAAAGACATCTTGATATTCTAAATAAGGATTTTTTTTTTATCAGATGAATGCAATTTGCAGATTGGTGAAGGTAATTTTGAAGCGGAATTGTAGACTTACCATTTTTTGCTCTTAATTATCTTGTATTTCATCATCAGATTCCTTATGTTTCTAGTCCTTAAACACAGCCTATTATGGGCACAAATCAAACATACATGTCTAAGAAAAAACCAATTTAAAATTGTAAGAGCCTCAGGCGTCCCAAGAGTCAGCCAAGAGAAAGGCTGAGTAAAGGGGTCCCAGGGGTCCTCACCTGACCTCCCCCACCTAACCCTTGTGCTTTGCTACACCCTAACAGGCTCCCCGCCTGTTATCACAAATGGGGAACATCTAAAGAAGATAGCACTTGTTTTTTACTTAGATTTTTTATTTTGAAATAATTCTAGATTCACATACAGTTGTAAGAAATGATACAGAGAGATCCCACGTACCCTTTACCCAGTTTCCCCCAATGGTAACACCTTGCGAAACCATAGTGCAATGTCACAACCAGGACAGTGACATTGGTACAGGCAAGACACAGAACATTCCATCACAGGAACCCTTCCTGTGGCCCTTCAGAGCACGTCCACCTCCTTTCTCTCTCCCTCTCCCCCCTCGTCCCTAATCCCAGGCAACCACTAATCTTTTCTCATTTATATAATTTTGTCGTTTCAAGAATGTTATGTAGGCCGGGCGCGGTGGCTCACGCCTGTAGTCCTAGCACTCTGGGAGGCCGAGGCGGGCGGATGGCTCAAGGTCAGGAGTTAGAAACCAGCCTGAGCAAAAGCGAGACCCCATCTCTACTAAAAATAGAATGAAATTAATTGGCCAACTAAAAATATATAGGAAAAATTAGCCGGGCATGGTGGCGGCTGAGGCAGGGGGATCGCTTGAGCCCAGGAGTTTGAGGTTGCTGTGAGCTAGGCTGACGCCACGGCACTCACTTTAGCCTGGGCAACAGAGTGAGACTCTGTCTCAAAAAAAAAAAAAAAGTGTTATATAAAGGGAATCATACAATATATAACCCCTTTGGGGATGGGTCTTTCTCACTCAGCCTAATTAGCTTGAGATTCATCCAAGTTGTTTCACATATCTATAGTTTGTTCCTTTGTATTACTGAGTAATAAGTCCAAAGAATAAAAGTGCCACATTTGTTTAACCTCCTAGGTTGTTTCTATTTTTTGGCCGTTACAAATAAAGTTGCTATAAACAACATTTGTGTACAGGTTTTTGTGTGAACATAAATTTTCATTTTTCCGGGATAAATGCCCACAAGTATAATTGCTGGCTTGTATGATAGTTGCATGTTTAGTTTTTTAAAGAAATGGCCAATTTTGAATAAAAGTGTTTCATGAAAAAGGAAAAAAAAAAAAAAAAAGAACCAGCCAAACTATTTTCCAGAATAGCTGTACCACTTTCCATTCTCACAAGCAATGTGTGAGCGGCAATATTTCCCTGCATCCTCACCTGCATTTGCTGTTGTCATTATTTTTTATTTTAGTCATTCTGACAGGTGTGTGGTGGTATCTCACTGTGCTTTTAATTTGCATTTCCATTTCCCTAACGGCTAATGATGTTGAACATCTTTTCATGTGTTTGTTTGTTGTACATCATCTACGCTAAAATGTCTCTTCCTATCTTTTGACCACTTTCTAATTGGATTGTTTGGGTTTTTTTCACTGTTGAGTTTTGAGAGTTCTTCAGACATTCTAGATGCTAGTTCTTTGTGGAGATGGTTTACAAATATTTTCTTCCAGTCTATAACCTCTTAAAACAGAGTCTTTTGCAGAGCAAAAGTTTTTTTTTTTAATTTTGATGCAATCAAATTTATCACATTTTCCTTTTAGGGGTCTTGCTTTTGGTGTCAAGTCTAAATCCAAGATCCCAAAGATTTTCTACTACTTTTAAATGAAAGTTTAAAAGTTTTATGTTTAATATGTAAGTACATCACCTACTTTGAGCGGATTTTTGTACAAGGTCTGAGACTTAGGTTGAGGTCCACCTTTTCCCCCTACAAATGTCCAATTGTTCTAGTACCATTTGTTGAAAAGGCTCTCTCTCCTCCATAGACTTGTTTTGCATCTCTGTCAAAAATCAAATGGGCAGGAATTACAAAAGTCCCTGAATAGCCAAAACAATCTTAAAAAAAATACAAAGTCAGAGGACTTACAGTTCAAAACTTACTGTTAATACAAAGGTACAAAAATTAAAACAGTGCGGCACTAGCATAAGGGTAGACATATAGACCAAAGGAACAGAATTGAGAGTTTAGAAATGTATACATCTATTGCTAATTGAGTTTCAGCAAGGGTGTCAAGATTATTCAAGGGAGAAAGAATAGTCTTTTCAACAAGTAGCACTGAAACAACTGAATATCCACATGCAAAAGAATGAATTTGAACCCCTACCTCACACCAAACACACAGATTAATTTAAAATTGATCAATGACCTAAATATAAGAGCTAAAATCATAAACTCTTGGGCAAAAACACAGAAGTACATCTTCACAACTTTGGACTTGGCAATAGATTCTTATAACACAAAAAAGCATGACTAATAAATAAGGAATAAATTGGACTTTATCAAACCTAAAAATTTTACACATGGAAGAACACTATCAACGTAAAAAGACAACCTACACAATAAAAAAATGTTTGTAAATCATATGTCTGAGGAGGAATCAATATCCAAGATATATAAAGAAATCTTATGACTCAACAACAGAAAGACAAAACAACTCAATTAAAAACTGGACAAAGGACTCGAACAGACATCTCTCCAGAGATGATACACAAATGGCCAAAAATTTGCATTAAGGAAATGCAAATCAAAACCACAAGGAGATGCCACTTCACACCCACCAGGATGGCTATATTAATAAGTTTTGAAAACTGGAAAACAAGAGGTCACAAGAACATGAATAACTGGAGATCTCGTACATTGCTGATAGAAATGTAAAATGGTTCAGCTGCGTGGATAACAGTGTGGTGGGCACTTAAAAAGTTATATATAGAATGACCTACGACCCAGCAATTCCACTCGTTGGCATATGCCCCAAAGAATTGAAAACAGACAGGCAAAAACTTACACGTGAATTTTCATAGCATTGCTATTGACAACCGCTGGAAGATGGGAATGACTCAAATGTCTGTCAGTAGATGACAGATAAGCAAATCGTGGTCTGTACATACAGTGGGATATTATTGTAGTTAGCCATAAAACAGAATCGGGTACTGATACCTGCAACAATGGGGATGAACCTCAAAGACATGTTAAGTGAAAGAAGACAGACACCAAAGGTCATATATCATATGATTCCATTAATATGAAATTTCCAGGATAGGCAAATCTATTAGAAGCAGAGAACAGATTGGTGGTTGGAAGAAGTAATGGGCATTAACCACTTGAAGGCTATGGAGTTTTATTTTGTGGTGATAAAAATGTTTTGAAATTAGATAGACGTGGTGATGGCATAAACATCGTGAATATATTAAATGTCCCTCATCTGTTTCATTGTGCTTAATTTTATATGAATTTTACCTACATATAAAATAAAATAATAAGCTAGGCATATTTTATGGATCTATTTTGGGTTCTCTATTCTGTTCCTACCAATACCACATAGTCTTGATTACTGTAGCAATTAATATATAAATCTTGAAGTCAGTGATTTCTCCCAATTCTTTTTTTTTTCCAAAATTATTTTAGCTATTCCTGGTCTTTTATCTTTCTACATGAATATTATAATCATCTTGCCTTTATCTACACAAAAGCTTGCTTAGATTTTGGTAGGAATTGTGCTAAACCTGTGTATCAATTTGGGGTAGAGTTTGGTTTTTGTCTAAAATTTTTCCATCTTGCTAGGCTGCCTCTTTTGTGGTCCTTTGGTGAGAAAGAGAGGGATATCCTTGGGCTTTTATTGCCTGTACCTGTTTGCTATTCCAGATTGCTAGCTTCTTTTTTTATTTTTATTTTTTTGAGACAGGGTCTCATTCTGTCACCCAGGCTAGATCTAGTGCAGTGGCATCATCATAGCTCACAGCAACCTCAAACTCCTCGGCTCAAGTGATCCTCCTGCTGCAGCTTCCCAAGTGGCTGGGACTACAGGTGCACACCACCATGCTCGGCTACTTTTTCTATTTTTTCTAGAGATGGAATCTTGCCCTTGCTCAGGCTGGTCTCGAACTCCTTACCTCGAGCGATCCTCCTGCCCCGGCCTCCCAAAGTGCCAGGATTACAAGCATGAACCACCGTGCCTGGGCCGGATTGCTGGCTTTCTCAGCTCCAGATCTGGGACACGTGAGGCAAAAATAAAGCCCAGGGAAAACTCATCGCTGTGACATTCCTTGGGTCCTTAAGTCCCTAGTGGGCCTGCCGTCTTCTCTTCACCTTCCAGAATTGTCTGACGGGTGTTTCGTATATAATGTCCTGTTGTATTTAGCAGGAAGAATGGGGGGGGGATCATCTACTCCATCATCCTACAAGTGGGAGTCCACGCATTCGTTCTCACAAGTAGCAATCTGAACTCTCGGGAACAGCACTCGTACGGGTCCGCATGCAGACAACGTCAGCTGGGATCTGTGGTACGCCAGGCACGTGGCTCATCGCGAAAATAACTGCTCAACGGAGGCCTCACGTCCTGCTCCTCGCCGTTCTCGGTCGGATCTTGTCCAGGGAGGACGCTCACGCTCTGCAGCGGGCAGGTGGATTCCCGGGGACTCAGACGCAGTGTGGACTGCAGAGCATCGCCCTGTTCATCCAGAGCTCAGGCGTTTATACTGTTTTAAAGACAAAAGACTCCAGACAATGCAGGTGCTTATTTATTTCATCCTGGGTGGAAGGTGAAGGGATAAATAGTTCCTCTACCTGGAAACTTTATTGATCTCTTGCTTGTTTTATTTATTTATTTTTTTAGCATAGACACCCTAATGTCGTGCCGTCTGTTCCTCACGACTGAGACAGACGGACGGCGTCCCCTGCTAGTTTGCCTACGAGGGCAGCTGGGGAGTGAAGACGCATCGGTTCCAGGAGGCTTCAGCGGCGAGTCGCACGTACGATGCTCGCAGAGAATCGGAGCTCCTCGCAAACGAACGGCTACAAGCCAACAGGACCCCTGGGGACAGCGAAGGCAGGTGGCCCCAGGCAGCGTGGTGCTCTCGCGCTCACTAACGGCGGGGCTTGCTGGGGCGATCCACCTGCTTCCGCACCACCAGCTCTCTGTGAGAGGCGCATCCCTGCTGCACACCTGCGGGAAGGTGGGGGACCGGGAGCATCGCCGGCTCCCTAAAATGGAAACCGCCCTGGCCCCTGCTTCCTGGGTGTGCAACAAAACCAAAAAGAGAGAGAGAGAGAGAGAGAGAGAGAGGACAGTGACAGTACCGCCACTCCCTCCCCTGCCCAAACAAAACCCAAGCGAGTTCGACTTGAGATTTTCGCCAAGGGTGGGAGGAGAGGTCCCGCCGGCACGGACGCCCTGGTGAGAGGAAGAGGCTGTAAATCACCGCAGGACGGCACGGTGGCCCCTCACGGCACGGCGTCACGTGAGCGGGACTCTGTCCTCGCTGTGTCCCCAAGGGCCCAGGGCAGCACCCGACCTCCGACAGTCCCTCGGTAAACGTGTGTCGAATGCACGAATGACACCTTGAGGGGCTGTCGGGATGAAAGGCTGTCTCACGGAAGGTCTTCGCTGGGCTCCAGCGCTACGCGGGGCAGGACTCGGAGTCACAGAACAGAGCCTGGGTGGAGGGCGGACGGCCGGGCAGGGAGGCCGGGCAGGGAGGCCGGGCAGGGAGGCCAGGCAGGGAGGCCAGGCAGGGAGGCCGGGCAGGGAGGCCAGGCAGGCTCGGGCGTCAGAGACGCTCGGCAGCCTGAGCTCTCCACGAGTGGGACGGGAAGGAAGGGCCGTGGGAGCCGAAGGTGTGTCTTGGACTCAGCGGTCAGAAGTCTGGGCTGCGGGCTGCTCGAGGACACAGGGACACCACACGCCTGGTTTCCTTTTCTGCCTCCCTGGCGGTTCCTTCTCAGCCTCCCGCGCCAGCTCCTCCCGCCGTCTCTTCCTGCTAAATCCTGCGGCGCTCTGGGTCTGGGCCCTGAGGTCGCGTCTCAGCCTCACTGGTGTCAGAGAACGCTTCCTCACTGTGGGCCCTGCACCTTGCGTCAGATGGCAGCTCTGGGACTTCCTCCTCCAACCTGGGCCTCTCTCCTGCCTCCAACCAGCCTGAGCACCTCCACCTGCAGAGCTGACGGGCGGCTCAGACTTCATGGGTTCACACCTGAATTTCTGGTCTGTCTCTCTCCAAAACGGTTCCGCTCAGCCTTCCTCAACACACAACAGCAACTCCACCCGCTCAGCCAATCCGGCTGAAAGCCCTGGAGTTGCCCTGGCCTCTTCTCTGTCGCCCACACCCAGCCCAATCCATCAGCAAAACTCACTCCGCTCTCCAAGCGCATTCAAACCCTGACCGCTTGTCACTGCCCGTGCAGCCGTCCTCTGCAGCAGGGTCTCCCCAGCTCTCGGCTGCACCATGAGGTCCCTGCTTCCCCTGCTCACCCCGGGGACTATTCCTGCAGCGAGAGCAGAGCCACCTGAGGACTACCAGGGGGCTCACAGCACTCCTCTCTTGGCCCCTCCTTCGGCACTTCTTATTCCCTTCCACGGAGGGCCCAGTCCTCACAGGCCCAGCATGGCTGCACACAACCAGGCCTCTGTCATCTCTCCACCTCACTCACTCCACCCTGCTCTCGCCTGAGGACACGCTGCCCCTGCATCCAATGGGCTCCCTCCTTCCTCTCCCAGCCCCTGCTTCTCAGCCAGGCCTCTCCAGACCAGCCTCCTCCACCCCTCACTCCCCACCCTGGCGTCACCTGCCCCGTCCCTGCTTCATTTGCCCACAGCACTTGTCTTCAGCATGCTCTATGTTTTGCTCATGCATTTGGCTTTTGTCTGTCTCTCCCTCCTGGAATATAAGCTCCTCGAGGGCTGGACTTGTGTCTGTTGGATTCAGCACAATGTCCTGGGTACCTAGACAGGTGTGTGGCCGGGGCAGGTGGCGTGGCAGGTGTTCTGCAAACATTCACTGAATG